GTCTGAAAGGAAGCAGGAAGAGCACCAGTACCAAGTGAGTTTACAGAGATGAACAGGAATGGACCATGAGACCTTTGTACACCATGGGTGATGTTTGGATTTTTCATGTGTGTATCTGTGCATGTATGTGATGAGATATATATATATAACATAAAAGGTCCCATCCCCATTATTTTTAAGTGCATAGTTTAATGGCATTAAATACATTCACATTGCTGTGTAACCATCACCTCTATCCATTTCCAGAACTTCTTTATCTTCCCAAACTAAAACTCTGTACCGGTTTAACACTAACTCCCCATGGTCCCCTCCCCTCAGCCCCTGGCAACCTCCATTCTACTTTAGTCTCTATGAATTTGACTGCTTTAAGTATCTCATATAAGTGGAATCATGTATGCTATGCATCCTTTTGTGTCTGCCTTAGTTCACTTAATTTCTCCAAGGTTCATTCATGTTGTAGCATCTGTCAGAATTTCCTTCTTTTTTTAAGGCTGAATAATCTATCCTGTATACATACCACATTTTGTTCATCCATTCATTCATTGGTGGACAGTTAGGTTGCTTCTGCCTTTTGGCAATTGTGATTGATGCTGTTATGAACCTGGGTATGCAAATAGCTGTTTAAGTCCCTGCTTTTAATTCTTTTGGGTATATACCCAGAAGTGGAATTGCTGGGAGATGTGATAATTCTATTTTTAATTTTTTTTAAAGAAACGACCACACTATTAATATTTAGATTTATTTTTAGTGCAATTTTAAGTCATTGTAATAACATGATCTGATTTATAGTCGTTTGGGATTTTTGTTTGTTTGCTTTTGAGACATGGTCTCACTCTGTCACCTGAGCTAAAGTGCAGTGGCATCATCATAGCTCACTGCAACTCCAACCTCCTGGGCTCAAGCGATCCTCCTTCCTCAGCCTCCTGAGTAGCTGGGACTATGGGTACACAGTGCCACACCTGGACAATTGTTAAAAATTTTTTGTAGAGATGGGGTCTTGTTATGTTGTTCTGGTTGGTCTCAAACTCCTGGCCTCAAGTGATCCTCCCATCTCAACCTCCCGAAGTGCTAGGATTACAGATGGGAGCCACCACACCCAGCCCCTGACTTACAGTTTAAGAGAGAACTCTGCTTCTCACTGTGGCTGCCATGTCAAGAATAGATCTGGGAGAGTTCGTATAGAGGCCAGGAGAGCAGTGAAGACATTATTTCTGGGGTGACAGTGGGGATGAGGGGAGGGAACTGGCAGTACTTGTGGATGTACTGATTGTGGAAGGTGAGAAAAGAAGGGAATCTAGCCTGACTCCTAGGTTAGAGCATCTGGAGGGATGCTGGCACCCTATACTGACATGGGGGGGACTGGGGGGCAGATTTGGGGGGGTGAATCCAGAGCTTTGTTTTGGGCATATGTTCAGTTTTCAATTTTGTTAGACATCTAAGTGATGATGGCAAGGCAAGGAAGGAAGACTTGGGAGCTGTCTGCAGATAGATGGTATTTCGGATCATGGGACTGAATGAGGCATCTGTGTTGGGTTCCCAGAGGTCTTGTGGACTCCAGTCATGAGGAATGACGCTGGGTTGGGGTGGTGGGGTGTTGACCCTAAATTAGGAGGCTGTCATCTGAGGACATAAGGAAGTATGGATGGGCTCACCTGTGTGTCCATGCCCAGCTCTGGGTCATACGTCCAGGGGGGTGGTACAAATGGAGGGATGTTTCTTAGGGTAGTCACCTTGCTCCACCTAGGAGGCCTAGGCCAGGGGCTGGGAGCCTCGCAGGCTCAGAATGCCCAGGTCCTGCCTAGCCACCTGAGATTGGAAGGAAGGCGTGGGAGAAGGGCTTTGTAGAGATCAGGTCCCCCTGAGGTTCACAGCTCAGTGCTTCACAGTCTTTTACCACAAACCCACTTCCTGTGATTTTTGTCTCTGGGTTATCTCTACTACCATGAATTTCCCGTGAGCAGCGTTAAGCAAGTTCTCAAGAGAAACGTCAGCCACACTGAGAAGGTTGAGGTTCCTTCCTCCTTCCTGTCAGAGCCGCATGTGGGGCTGTAATTGGGTTCTGAGTGTAAGAGCTTCTTGACGGCAGGACCCAGAACAAGCCCCTTCCTGCTCCGACTAGCGTCTGGCACCCAGGCAGTGCGTTAGCAGGTGTTTGCTGAGTGCTTGCTAGGCTGCAGCTGCCGCATGAGGCTAAATTTGATTTGTGCGGTCCTGGTACCCAGAGACAAGAGGCTTCTAGATATAGCCCCCTCCTCAGTTGACTGCCCCAAGAATCCATTTACAAATTGGTGCCATGTCAGGAACACCTGACTATCCATTAGGCTTGAAGAAGAGAAAAAGAAAAGAGTTGAAGTTCCAATTTATAGAGAGTTTCCTTCCCCTAGGGCTCCACCTTCCCAGGCAGTGACCAAAGAATAGCTAGAACAAGTCCCTTTCTCTCCCTCTTACTCTGGTCTCACACATAGGGGAGCGGCAAGGCCTTGGATGACTGAGGGAGGTGGCAGAGACCACCTTGAAACCCAGGCACATTAAGGCCTTGCCAAGTGCCTTCCTGCGAGGAGTCCTCAGACACAGACTGGGTAGGATCCACTGCTGCCCTTTGCACTTTCTGTGACCCTGGGCCCATCACCTTGGGTCTTAGTTTTCCCATCTGTAAACACTGGGGACAATACTCCCTGTTTCATAGAGTTGTTAACCTTCATAGAGATAATTAAATAGGGAAGTCAACAGGAAAGAACCTACCTCACCTAGACTGGCCCATAGCAGGTGCTCAAGTGTTCAGGTACAGCAAGCATGTGTGCACACATGTGTGCAAGATCAATGGCAACCCCCCAAGTTGATTCAAAGGACATACTCATGTTTGTCACATCTGTCTTCCACCTCTGAAATTATAGGCAACTGCGTTCTGCAGTCAGAACAGAACAGTGGCACAGATAAACCAAAACAGCAGTTAAACTATAGGTAAAATTTGGAGCACCGTGTGTTTCAAGTTGGACTGCTTCAGAATAGAGCTATTGTTAATGCTCTGAGGATTTCAGACTAAGAAACAGGGTGATGAAGTAAGCTCCCCACCCCCAGAAGGAGCTGAGGATTTCAGGAGAGATAACCCTCCCTTCGAAAAGCTTCCTCAGCCCTCCTTAAATTCAGGATGGTCAGCCTTCCTGCACACCACCCCCAGCCCCACGCTACCTCCGACAGATCACTGATCACCTGTCCAGTAATTGCCTGTTCCCTGGTTGAACTTGCTCCCTGGGTGGTGCAAGTGATCATTCCTTAGGAGGAATGATCATGCCAGCCGGACTCTCCACTCTACCCGGGTCCCTAGCACTGTGCCTGGCCCATGGTAGGCACTTGGTGCATTTGGGGGTTTTTGTTTGTTTGTTTGTTTTTGTTTTTTGAAATAGGGTCTTGCTCTGTCACCCAGGCTGGCATACAATGATGCAATCATAGCTCACTGTAACCTTGAACTCTTGGGCTCAGATGATCTTCCTGCCTCAGCCTTCCAATTAGCTGGTACCATAGGCGCACCATTGTGACCAGCTAATTTTTTTTTTTTTTTGTAGATACAGCATCTTGCCAGGTTACCCAGGCTGGTCTCAAACTCCTAGGCCCAAGCAATCCTCTCACCTGGGCCTCCCAAAGCCCTGGGATTATAGGCATAAGCCACTGCACCAGACCTGTTGTTTTTGTTTTGTTTTCTTTTTTAATATAATTAAAAAGCTGTTTGGCATGTTTTCATCTTAAAGATTTCTAGGCCAGGCACAGTGGCTCAGAGTTTGAGGCTGCAATGAACTATGAACACACCAATGCACTTCAGTCTGAGCAACAGAGTGATACCCCCCTCCAGCCTGAGCAAGAACTAGATGCCATCTCTACTAAAAATAGAAAACATTAGCCAGGTGACTAAAATAGGAAAAAAAAAATTAGCCAGGCGGGGTGGCAGGTACCTGTAGTCCCAGCTTCTCAGGAGGCTGAGGCAGGAGGATCTCTTGCGCCCAGGAGTTTGAGGTTGCTGTGAGCTAGGCTGACACCGTGGCACTGTAGCACAGGCAACAGAGCGAGACTCTGTCTCCAAAAAAAAAAACAAAAACAAAAACAAAAAAAAAATGAGAACAGAGTAAGACCCTCCTCTCTTAATTAAAACAAAAAATTCCATGTGCAGAGAAGATAATAAAGGGAATTAGAGTAAGACTTCTTGGGGCTGATTTAGCAAGAAAGCAACATTTTTGCATTCTCTGCCTGTCAAACTTGCTGTGAAGAGGTTGGGAAAAAGGGACTCACAGACACAGAAGTGACTGCAGCAACCGGCATGGGCATCGCAGCTCTGAAAGGTGGGGGCTGAGAGGGTGAGAGTCTGAGAGGGTCACCTCAGAGCCTGTGTCAGAAGTTTGTGCTTGATTTGAGACCAAAGAAACACAACTCTGAGCTGCTGTCCTGTACATTAGAGATCATGCCCAGGTAAACAGGACAGGATCCGGCACCGCAGAGCCAGTGTCCCAGCAAGGTGGGCCTGGCCACAGGCCGGGCTTCCTCCTTCCTCTCCCCATCCTCCCCGACCACCCTGTTCTCCAACGACCACCCTATTCTCCACCTTCGGCTTCTGTGGATTGGCTTAGTGCAGGAGGTGTGAGAGGGTTAAAATTCCCGCCTCTGGAGGCCCAGGAGCCCTGGGCTTGGTGCCCACAGGGGATTAGGTTTGCAGCAAAGTGGTGAGCTGGTAACAGTGACCCTGTCCCTTGCAGAGTACTTAAAAGAGAAGCTGGAGCAGTATGTGCAGCAGCTGCAGGTGGTGCGGGTGGTGCGGCAGGCGGAGCGGAAGGGGCTGATCACTGCCCGGCTGCTGGGGGCCAGCGTGGCTCAGGCAGAGGTGCTCACGTTCCTGGACGCCCACTGTAAGTAGGGGGGGGTGTGGGGGGTGTGCTGCCTATAGCCCGGTGCCTCCCTTCCTGGCGGGATGGGGGGGTGCGCCCCAAGGCCCCTTCCTGTTCTGCTGTTCCAGGAGTGAGAGAGGCTTGGGACCACTCTAGCCACTTCTACCCCTTTCTCAGGGCAACCCCAAGAATGTTTTATCAGGCGGCACAAATAGCCCTAAAACAACTGGTGACCAGCTGGGAGTGTGCTTTGGGGCCACAGGCACTCATCCCTCCCCCTCACCCCCATTTGCGCCTTGTTCTGAGCTCAGCCCCCTCACAGAGGCCTCCTGTTAGCACCGAGAACTGGTTTGTGTGGGGCCTTTTTATAGGGCCACATGGGACCAGGAAGGCTTCCCTCTTGCCCAAAACCAAAACACCTCCCCACCATTGTCAGGGAAATAATTATTCCCTAAGAGCAGTGATATATATTGGGGATTGTGCTAGACTTAGAGTCAGGATTTTGGGTTTACATTCTGACTGTGCCACTGAGAGTCAGTTTCCTCATTTGTAAAATGAGAATGAGGATATCAGCCTTACCTAACACAGTTATTACTCCGAGGGTCAAATGTAGTCATATATGCAGAAGTTCATTGAAAATCTCAAATGCCTAGGCAATTGAAAGGGATTATTATTATTCTACAGTTGGGGCTGAAGCTTGAGATTAAAATACCCCTGGGAGAAGGAACACCCCTTTCTGAAGTCCACACTTGGGTAGTGAGGGCCGACTCAACAGATGGGCCGGCAACCCCCAAGACAGCTGTCTGTAGAGCCTTCTCTGTGCTTGGATAGTTTGAGTTGACCACATTACTCCTCTGAGACCTCCATTCATCCTCCCAAAGCTGCCTCCCGCTTTGGGGGTGGGTGGGGGTGGGAGGAGGGTTTCATATCTCTCCATGCTCCCTGCAGCTGTGGGGCTTGCTTGTGTTTCTCTGTCCATAATCAGGGAATGGGTACGGGGTCCTCTTGTCCTCCTGGGTCTCCCCACCCAGGGTGGGGCTTGGGCTTAGCTCTGGGCAGGACTCTGACTCTGCCTCCTGGGCTGGGCCTGCAGGCGAGTGCTTCCACGGCTGGCTGGAGCCCCTCCTGGCTCGGATTGCCGAGGACAAGACAGTGGTAGTGAGTCCAGACATCGTCACCATCGACCTTAACACTTTCCAGTTCTCCAAGCCCGTCCAGAGAGGCAGAGTCCATAGCCGTGGCAACTTTGACTGGAGCCTGACCTTTGGCTGGGAAACTGTACCTACACATGAGAAGCAGAGGCGCAAGGATGAGACCTACCCCATCAAGTAAGGACTACAGCCCGGTGAGCCCCCAGCCTCTATGGCCCCAGTCCCACCCACTTCCAGGGACCTGTGCCAGCTCATGTCAACATTTATTAGGCACTTTATCAAGCACTTGACATATTTTATTTAATTCTCACTCCCTACAAAGTAGGTACTATGACTAACCTGTATTACAGGTGAGAACACTAAGGCTCATAGTGATAAATAGACGATCATGCAGGTTGTAAATGATGGAACAAGGATAACATCTCGGCTGTCTGACCCAAAGCCCTAACCATGGCACATACTGCCTCCCACCATAACAGTTTGCTCTTGCAAGCTGTTGCACTTACTTTGTGCCAGGCACTGGACTAAGGACCATGCCTACCTTATGTCATTTATTCCTCCCTACTCATAGAAGAACGTGGCCAGTGCTTGCAGAGGGGGTGAGAGATGGCAGGTTGAGGCCATTGTGGAATAGCCATTGTAATAAGAGAGGGTGGCATGTTCCCCCAGGTCACTGTCTTTGAAAATACCAAGAACATATTAAAAGAAAATAAGTTTTTTTTTAGGCCGGGCATGGTGGTCACGCCTGTGAATCCTAGCGACTTGGGGGCGAGGCGGGCCGATTGCTCAGTCGACCAAATCTAAAGGCAGACTTCAAAACAGCTCTGAGCAAGAGTTGAAGACCCGTCTCTACTTATATAATAGAAAGAAATTAATTTGCCAACCTAAAAAATATTTAGAAAAATTAGCCGGCCATGGTGGTGCATGCCTTATCCCAGCTACTCGGGGGCTTGAGGCAGCGAGGATTGCTGAAGCCCAGGAGTTGGAGGTTGCGTGAGCTAGGCTGACTCCATGCCATTTCTCTAGCCTGGGCAATAAAGTGAGACTCTGTCTCAAAAAAAAAGAAAAGGTTTTTTGCAGTTTGAAATTTGTTGCAATTGCTCTAAACTTTTTTGGTAAAAGGCCAGATCGTAAATATTTTAAGTTTTGCCAGCCACGTAGAGCCTGTTGCATATTCTTTTTTGTTTTATTGTGGTGATGTTGTTTTAACAATCTTCTAAAAATGTGAAAACCATTCTTTGCCCTAGAGCCTAATAAAAACAGGCAGCTAGGCCAGATTTTTCCCACAGGATATAGCATGCCAGGCCCTGAGCTATAGGGCAGATAGTTGGAAGTTAATCCCTTTTTTTCTTTCTTTTTTTTTTTTTTTTGAGATAGAGTCTCATTCTGTTTGTCTGGCTAGAGTGCGTGGTCAGCCTAGCTCACAGCAACCTCAACTCCTGGCTCAAAGCAATCTTCTGCCTGCAGTCTCCAGTAGCTGACTACAGCCTTGTGCACCATGCCCAGCTAATATTTTCATATTTAGTTGCCAATTAATTTTTTCTAATTAGTAAGACAGGTCGCTGTTGGCTCAGCTGGTTTCAACTTCTGACCTTGAGCAATCGCCGCCTCGGCCTCCCAGAGTGCTAGATTACAGGCGTGAGCCACTGTGCCCAGCCTTATCATCCACTTTTTAATGCCAGATGGCTTGCTTTCCCTCTCATACTTACCCTGTCCTTCCTCTCCAGATTGCCCATTGCGTTGTGAGAGAACAATTTATTTAACAGTTGCTCAGGCAGACTGATCTGGGAGTGGCTTTTGAGGTACCCTATGGTTTGGATTATTTGTGCCATTGCTTCCTATTGGCCAGGACACTTAAGGGTCAGCTAAAATATATAGGGATGGGGGAGCAGAGGTTGGGACACATGGCTGGAGATAGAGGAAGGTTTGAAAGGGGAGACAGTGGAGTTGTTCCCCCTCCATATGCCCAGAATCCGAAGAAGACCACCCAAGTATCAGGAGAGACGGGTCCAGATGGTGTCATAGGGAGGAGTCCCGTGATCCTGAACAGTCAGATCTAGCCCTAATTAAAAAGGAGAGAGAAAAGCAAGGCAGGAGAGAGAAAAGAATTGGAACCCCTACTGCCCGCTCCACTTGTTTCATAGATACCTTTGTTTGGTGTGTCCGCACCAAATCCCACCCTCTGCCCAGCTGGAGGCCAGGCACACAGCAGCACAGACAGTGAACAGCGCACCTGGCCCCACCCATCGCTGACGTCCCGGCTCGATGTCCAAGGACCAACAACTGAAGACAAAGCTCCAATGTTTGAGAATGAATTGCTCCTTGTCAATGCCTGGTGCTCTCACAGCGCTTGCAAGGCACTTGTAGTTCCCCACCAGGAGGACTGCTGGTGGTACCTCCCACCCTCACCTCTCAAGCTACCGGGAGTACGAGGAGAGGTAGGAGGGCCCAAGGCAATCCTAGGAAGTAGACAGGAAAACTACACGGTGTTTCCTGTAACAGGTT